AGTTTCCCACAATGCTTGCTCTTTTTGCAGCCCTTGACATTAATTTTTGACATCTGTATACTGAGCTTGGTGCTAGGCAAGGCTGGTCGTTCTACCGCGCTCAATTCTTTGGGCGTCCAAAACTACTGCACTGTACGCCCACGCACTGTCATGTACTGAGCTTGATGAGCTTGACCCTAGGCTGGTCATTCTTCCGCGCTACATTTGTGTGGCGCCTGACATTACTGCAATGTACGCCCACACGTCCCCCAACTAGTACAGGGCAATAGTTGATATCAAATGCTGTCAAACGGTCTGAAGACGTCGTTGGCAGAGCGACTGATCGTACATGTAGTGAGTTTTAGGGACACCCTTCCATCTAAGATATTTCTAGTGGATCTTGCTAAGTGTGTATGTATAGGATATTGACCAAGACGAGGTCATGGGAAATATAGACCGAAGTTGATATCAATATCCTATTTATCACGATTCCTTTGCCATAACCCCAAAATTTGAACCTTTAGGAGCTATTTTAACCTTTTTAGTATAGCATTTGTACTATAGTGTACATAGGATGTTGCCTATTTTGTGTACAAGACTGTAAGAACAACAGAGTTCAGCATCTGTAGCACAGTGGCTGGGTGGTATAAGGGGTTGCTTGAGATTCATACTGTTGTGGGTTCGAATCCTGCTTGTTCTCTTCCTTTGTCTTCTTTCTTTCAATTATTCTTTTTGAAGTGGAGAGAAAAATTCTAAGTCCCTCCAAAGTCGAAGGATTACAATGCCTAAGTGGTCGATATTGCGGCGATATGGGTAATATAGGACCAATCAAGGATCACGAGAATTAGTGGTCGATATAGAAGAGTGATAATGTGATAATACTAGTACTCACTCAGCTGAAGCACACTGTTACAGCCAGTTGGAAAAGAAATTAGAACTTCCTAGTCAAAGAGATAACAAACAGAACTTACTCACTGCAGCTGTTCAGCAGTTCTTCAGTTCTTCCAGTGTCCAAGAACGTCCAGCCTATCCTTCATAAACCTGTACATGCACGGACGGAAGCACGAGCAGTTGCTGTTTCGAGTTTCAGTCAAAACACCTGCATCTAGTAAAGAAAGAGCATAAAAAATCCTAATTGATAACAAGACTGGATAACTGTATGCAGTACTGCATAAGTCATATATGAACTTACATGTAAATAGGACGTGCAATCTCTTTTCAGTCTCGAATGAGTCATGGCAGAGAAACTTCTACCCGCAACAAAAAAAATAAAACCCTGTACGAAGTCAATAAAGAGCCATACCAAAACCAATCTGCGAAGAAGACAAGACACCTGTATACAATCATGAAAGATCAATGAAGGGACTTACCTCTGAGCAAAACACGAAACCGGTATGGAGCCATGAAATAGGAATATAGTAAACTTCAACCTGCACACAGAACAAGAAAACCTGTATGCAGTCAAGAAAACACAAGAAAGCAAGTTTACGTTTGAACATGACAAGAACCTGTATTCTGTCAGAAAGGAGGAACTTTCACCGTGAAACAGGCGAAACACCTATATGCAGTAACGAAAGAATATAATAAAACTTAGCTGAGAACAAGACGGGAAACCAGGAAGCAGTCCACATGGAGCCATAGCAACTGACCTGCAAAAATACGTACAATCTGTATCGAGCCTCGAAAGAGTCAAACAGGAAACTTCCACCTGCAAGTAAAACAACAAAGAAAGCTGTATGACGTCAAGAAAAAGCAACATACCCGTAGGAAACTTATCTGCGAACAAGACAAGACACCTGTATACAATATTGAAAGATCAATGAAGGGAGCTCACGTGTGAGTAAGACAAGAAACCTTTCTGGAGAAATGAAATGAGAAAATAGTTAACCTCTACCTACACAGAAGACAAGACACTTGTATGAAGTCAAAAAAATACAATATAGCACGCTTACCTTTGAAGATGACGAGAACCTGCGTGCAGTCAGTAAGGAGTGATAAAGTAACCTTCTTTGAGAAACAGACGAAACACCTGTATGAAGTAACGAAAGAGTATGTAGAGAACTTAGCCAAGAACAAGACGGGAAACCAGGCAGCAGTCCACATGGAGGCATAGGAACTTACCTGCAAAAAAGACGTACAATCTGTATCCAGCCTCGAAAGAGTCCAACAGGAAACTTCGACCTGCAAGTAAAACAATAACAAAAACTGTATGAAGTCAAGAAAAGGCAATATAGGAAACTTACCTGCGAACAAGACAAGACACCTGTATATACGACCTACAGTCTGTATCGAGTCTCAAAAGAGTTAAACAGGAACCTTCTAGCTGCAATTTAGAACTAAAAGTCCTGTCTGAAGTCAAGAAAGATAATTATAGGAAACTTACCTCCGAACAAGAACATACACGTCCTCTATGCAGTCTTGTGAATAAGACGTGAAATCTGAATCCAGTCTCGAAAGAGTCAAACAGGAAACCGCGACCTGGAAACAAAACAAAAACACCTGTATGAATTCAAGAAAGAGAAATATTAAAGTAAACTTATTTGCGAACAAGGCAAGACACATGGACACAATCTTCAACGGTCATTGAAGGGAACTCACCTGTGAGCAAGACAAGAAACCTGTTTGGAGCCATGAAATAAGAAATGGTGTACTTCTAAACGCACACTGGAAACGAAAACTGTATGCAGTCAAGACTATACACTATAAGAAGCTTAATTTTAAACATGACGAGACTCTGTGTGCAGTCTAGGCATTGGCGGATAATGTTTGAAAAGGTGGCAGATTCTGCTCGAAAAGCAGTGACATTGGCAGAACCATACAAACCTTATGGCGTGCAATTCCTCGAATTCTGGTCCATTTCTTTATCCACATACCAAACATGCATGAAATCTACCAGAAAAAGTACCAAATTCTGCCAATTTATCTGCCGGCATTATCCGCAATGGCCTAGTGCAGTCAGTAAGGAGACATTATAGGATTCTTCTCTGCGAAACAGACGACACACCTGTATTCAGGTAAAAGAAAGAGCATATCGGAATACTAACTGGTTCCGAGACGGCAAACTATATGCAGTCATGCATAAGCCATATAGGAACTACTTAGCTGCAAATGGGACGTGTTATCTGTATGCAGTCTCGAAAGAGTCATAATTATAGGAACCCACGTGGGAACAAGACAAAAACCTGTATGAGGTCAAGAAAGAGCAATATAGGATACTGTTGAGTTCGAAACAGGACGACTGACAACGGGAACAAGTTAGTGGGAACGACATTTATTATAGACGACGAGACAAGAGACCAAGACGAACGAAACGACTACATTGGGATTATTGACGAGTGAGAAAAGAGAGAGAGAGAGATCAAGTCTGAACGGCAAGATAAAGGGCCTGGGTAGCTATGGCAAATATGGGCGCGCAAGTAGCTACCCAGGCCAACGGAACAAAAGGAGACAAAAGGTGAGTACGTAAGTGCATGCAGGCCAGCTAGAAAAGGTACGGGAGGAGGTACCTAACATACAACCCCTCCATGAAAAAAAAATCCCGCGTCCTCGCGGAGAGAAAAAAAGAGAGAAAAAGATTTAAAAAATGAACTGGAGGAGAAAACACACAAACATACACACACACACACACACACATACTGCACGCGCGCATGGATCTCCCGAAAGTGTGTACTAAAAATGCACTCGTACACATCATTCCTGTACTACTTATTGTGTGTAATAACTATTGGAGTTTGACGAGGAACGTGAATTTCTAGTATTTTGCACGGCTAATACAGCCTAGTTACACTTTTGCTAAACATCCAAAAATTAGAGCGTGGCTCACCATGATCGGACCCCTAACTTGGTTATGTTTTACGAACACACGCGCGCGCACACACTACAAAAAAATTCACGAAAATAAATTTGACGAAGAAGCATACAAAAAAAAGAAAGAGAGAAAGGTAGCTGACCTGCATGGCTTGAACGAGAATAGACGAGGTAAGGTTGGCGTAGGAGAGACGAGGTTGATAGAGACGAGACGAGGTTGGCGTAGGAGAGACGAGACTGACATGGACGAGACGAGGTTGACATAGACGAGACGAATGGTGGTTGAGGACGGCTGGGCATGGGATGATCTCAGGATCGTGGGTCGATCAATAATCGGGCGCCAATGTTGAGTTCGAAACAGGACGACTGACAACGGGAACAAGTTAGTGAGAACGACATTTATTATAGACGACGAGACAAGAGACCAAGACGAACGAAACGACTACATTGTGATTATTGACGAGTGGGAAAAGAGAGAGAGAGAGATCAAGTCTGAACGGCAAGATAAAGGGCCTGGGTAGCTGTGGCAAATATGGGCGCGCAAGTAGCTACCCAGGCCAACGGAACAAAAGGAGACAAAAGGTGAGTACGTAAGTGCATGCAGGCCAGCTAGAAAAGGTACGGGAGGAGGTACCTAACAATACTTACATGCGAACAAGACAAGGCACCTGTACTGTAGACACTCTGACTCATGAAAGATCAGTGAAGGGAACTCACCTGGGAGCAAGCCATGAAACTTGTATGTAGCCATCAAATATGAAAATAGGAAACCTCTGCCTGCACAGAAACAAAACACTTGTATGCAGTCAAGAAAATACAATAATTATAGGAAGCTTACGTTTGAACATGACGCGTACCTGTAAGCAGTTGGGAAGGAGAAATAGTTATAGGAACCTTCTCACCCGAACAGGCGAAATACCTGTATGCAGTAACGAGAGAGCATGGTGAAAACTGAACTGAGAACAAGACCGGACAACGGTATGCAGTAAAAAAAAAGAGCTATTATATATTATACAGTCGACTTTGCTTAAAAAAGACCCTCGGGGCGGCGTGACATCAGAAAGGTGTCCTTATTCGCGCAGTGTCCTAACACCCGAAGTCTCACTATGTATTCCAGCAGCACACGTAGTCTAGTTCTCTTATGACATTGACCACGTGACCACGGAAGTGTTGCCAGTGTACAGTCATGTGTGTGGGTGCTTGATTCTACGCAGGGCGTCGTGAAGCCCTACACCTGGGAACGCTGGGCTGCGAAATGGCGCAAGGCGCAAATTTGCGTGCCATCCTTGGATTTCACTCAGCAAGAACAAAGAGAATAAAGGACCTCCATCGGAGAAAAAAGCAGCTACCTGCACTGAGCTCCACATTCACAGTCGTCACGTTTAGCTGTGGATTCCTGCAGTGACACCTACCCTTCACTGTTCTTTCTCAGGCGGTAGAATGCACGTTATGGCAAGTATCCAGAACCATTGTCGACGTCACATGCGAATGCAAAGACCTTTAGTGCCACAGGAGTGATAGTTGGTACAGCACTGTACTTGCACTTTCTATTACTTTCTATCACTCCTCTTTCACGCCTTGCTCAGCCATAGTATCTCAGATGGAATCACCAGAACTACTGTGTGCCCACACGTCCACCACCAACTACTAGTGGCCAGTATTGACATCAACAAATGATAACTTACCTCACAACAAGACGGGGAAAGTGTATGCAGGCCAACAGGAGCTATTATAGGATCTTACCTGTCAAAAGGCGTAACATTTGTATGCAGTCTCGGAAGAGACATCATTGGAAACTTTTACCTGTGAACAAGACAAATATACCAGTATTAAGTCAAGAACGAGTAATATGTGAAAACCTCTAGCTGCGAACAAGATAAAAAGCCTGTATTCAATGCAGAAAGAGCAAAATAGGAAACTGTCCTGCGAAGAAGACAAGACACCTGTATACAATCATGAAAGATCAATGAAGGGAGCTTACCTGTGAGCAAGACACGAATCCTGTTTGGAGCCCTGTAATTATAATGAAAATAGGAAACTCTTGCCTGCACACAAGACGAGACACTTGTATGCAGTTCGGAAAATGCATAATAGAAAGCTTACCTGTGAACGTGACGAGAAATCTGCATGCAGTCAGGAAAGAGTATTATAGGAATCTCAACAGCGAAAAAGACGAAACCATTGTAACTGCGAACGTTACGAAAACCTGTGTGCATTCAAGAAAGAGCTGGAAAGGAAACTTACCTGTGAACAAGACAAGACGCCGTATATGCGTAGGCTCCTATTTCCAGTCCAGAAAAAGCTGTATAGTAAACGTACCTTCGAGAAAAACAAGAGACTTGGAGGCAGTCAAGAAAATACAATAATTATAAGAAGCTAACCTGTGACCAAGACGAGAAGCCCGTGTGCAATCAGGAAAGAGTAAAATTGGAACCTTGTCCGCGAAAAAGGCGAGAAACCTCTATGCAGTAACGAAAGAGCATACAGAAAACGTAACTGACAACAAGACGAGAAAACTGTGTGCAGTCAAGGAAGAGCGGTATAGGAAACTTACCTGCGAATAAGACAGAGAAATCCGTATGCAGTGTCGAAAGCGTCATCTACTAGTATGTAATGCTGGTTTACCAGTGTTGTATTCTATACTAGTAGGAAACGTCTACCTGCGAACAAGAGAGCAATATGAGTAATATCATGAGTACTCTAGCTGATTAAAATGGGGGTAAAAATACACACCTGTCACAGTGGCAATATGGCGGTAAATACGTACCTGCCATCATACGCTCTCTAGGCTGCAAAGTTCTAGCACAGAGCTCTCATTCTCACCACCACCACCACCACCACCACCACCACCACTCCATCAGTTCGCGCCTGGCGCCTAGTCGATGCATGGCTGGTGGTACCGGTATCCGACAAAGCAGGCTGGGCCATACTGCCATACACCCGTATTCCGTGCATGCATTACAGTCTATGCCTCGAGTCACAGTGTACAGTGGATACATTATCATTTGTATACTGAGCTTGGTGTTAGGCCGGTCGTTCTACTGCTAAATTCTGGGGCGTCCAAAACTTCTGCACTGTACGCCCGCACATTATCATGTACTGAGCTTGATGAGCTTGATTCTACGCTGTTCGCTCTTCCGCGCTACATTATGTGGCGCCAGACATTACTGCAACGTACGCCCACACGTCCCCCAACTAGTACAGGGCAGTATAGTTGATATAAAATGCCGTCAAACGGTCTGAAGACGTCGTTGGCAGAGCAACTGCTCGTACATGTAGTGAGTTTTAGGTACACCTTTCCATCTAAGATATTTCTAGTGGATGTCGCAAAGTGTGTATTGTGATAATAGTACTCACTCAGCTGAAGCACACTGTTACAGCCTGTTGGAAAAGAAATTAGAACTTCCTAGTCAAAGAGATAACAAACAGAACTTACTCACTGCAGCTGTTCAGCAGTCCTTCAGTTCTTCCAGTGTCCAAGAACGTCCAGCCTATCCTTCATAAACACGTACATGCACAGACAGAAACACGAGCAGTTGCTGTTTCCTAACTCTGAGTTTCACGAACTGAATCGATCATTAGACGAAAATTTAACCAGTAATAGAAATGTAATGTACATACAGGTAGCAGCACTTGTATTGCGCAATCTTGTAATACTCAAAATCTCCAATTGAACAACACGTGTGGCCTTTTCCTCCTTCTACTATTGCCTCAAATTTCCACGTTTTCCTTTCCTAAAGAATGGCGTTGTAACTTGACTGTATTATTAGTGGCCTGTACGCTACAATAAACTGAGGCATACATATAGACACAAAATTAGCTGTGCGTCTTCTACAAAAGTCAAAGAAATACAGACAGCAGAGCTAACCTTTCTCAACGCGAAGAATGTAGTTATGGTGGCACGGGTACGTTTACAGCTACTATACTCCCAGCTGTAGCACGTATTGAGAGCTGATGTGCGGGGTAGCGCGGCGCCCACATATCTTCCACTTGAACTCTGAGCTTCATGCGGCGCTAGGCAATCATCAGACACTTGAACTGATACTCGGATCTACCCAGCAGTACGAAGTAGTGGTTGCGACTTCGGCGATAATTTGTAAGAAAGGGTTTGCTCCCCACACCGGAGCTCGCGCTATTCCGCCGACTTTACTTGACACTTGACTGACTCACGACTGCCATCCAGAGCACACGAGAAGTCCATCGAACCTTCGACTCGGCAAACCTGTCTGGTGTTCACAGGGTGTTTGTCGCGCTGGAAACGGAGCGTCTCTGTAAGTTTGTATCCCTGGTGATGTTTGTGCCTGGAGAGCACTATATAAGTGGTGCTCTTCAGGCACAATCTTCCTCAGCCTACTCAAGCTCAACTGATGAGGGGTGAATTCCCCGAAACACTGTGTATTGAGCAGGGAGTGGTGCTTTCTTGCAGGTTTGCCGAGTCGAAGGTTCGATGGACTTCTCGTGTGCTCTGGATGGCAGTCGTGAGTCAGTCAAGTGTCAAGTAAAGTCGGCGGAATAGCGCGAGCTCCGGTGTGGGGAGCAAACCCTTTCTTACCCAGCAGTAGTTGAATCAACCATAAGTACTGCTGCATTGGTGTCTTCAACTGCATATCTCATGAATACCCTCTGCCAGCGAAAAAGACGAGAAACTAACTTGTCAGCAGTAAAGGAAACTTGTAGCTGCGACCAAGACAAGCAAACCTCCACCCGTAGTCCGAGCATGCATTACAGTCTATGCACAGTTGAGTCACAGTGTACAGTGGATACATAATCATTTGTATACTGAGCTTGGTGTACGCCCACACATTGTTATGTACTGAGCTTGATGAGCTTGATTCTACATTATGTGGCGCCAGACATTACTGCAATGTACGCCCACACGTCCCCCAGCTAGTACAGGGCAGTATAGCTGATATCAAAATGCCATCAAACGTCCTGAAGACGTCGTTGGCAGAGCGACTGATCGTACTTGTAGTGAGTTTTAGGTACACCTTTCCATCTAAGATATTTCTAGTGGATCTCGCTAAGTGTGTATTGTGATAATAGTACTCACTTAGCTGAAGCACACTGTTACAGCCAGTTGGAAAAGAAATTAGAACTTCCTAGTCAAAGAGATAACAAACAGAACTTACTCACTGCAGCTGTTCAGCAGTCCTTCAGTTCTTCCAGTGTCCAAGAACGTCCAGCCTATCCTTCATAAACCTGTACATGCACAGACAGAGGCACGAGCAGTTGCTGTTTCGTAACTCTGAGTTTCACGAACTGAATCGATCATCAGACGAAAATTTAACCAGTAATAGAAATTTAATGTACATACAGGTAGCGGCACTTGTCTTCCGCAATCTTGGAATACTCAAAATCTCCAATTGAACAACACGTGTGGCCTTTTTCTCCTTCTAGTATTGCCTCAAATTTCCACGGTTTCCTTTCCTAAAGAATAGCGTTGTAACTTGACTGTACTATTAGTGGCCTGTACGCTACAATACGCTGTTACATACATATAGACACAAAATCACCTGTGCGTCTTCTACAAAAGTCAAATAAATACATACAGCAGAGCTAACCTTTCTCAACGCGAAGAATGTAGTTATGGTGTCACGGGTACGTTTACAGCTACTATACTCCCAGCTGTAGCACGTATTGAGAGCTGATGTGCGGGGGGCCGGGGGAGGGGGGGGGGGGGGGGGAGCGCGGCGCCCACATATCTTCAACTTGAACTCTGAGCTTCATGCGGCGCTAGGCAATCATCAGACACTTGAACTGATACTCGGATCTACCCAGCAGTATGCTTATGATAGCACCCGCTACGACTGGTACGACCATGGTCGTACCACTTTTCGAAAAGCGTGGTCCGCCCGAAACGTGCAAAACCGTAATAAAAAAAATCAGGATCCATTGACGCATAAGCACCCTTCCAAAACCCCTCCTACGCCCCTGTTATCAACACATAGCCTTAGGGCCATACTAGTAAGCATAAACAAAGTCAGGGCTAAATCTGGTGACGTAAATTTTGGGGAAAAAGCTGGCTCAGGCCAACGTCACCGGATTTATCATTATTATTATTTGTAGTCAAGTGGTTTGCTTCATTGTCCGAAGAGTGCTCAATACCCATGTAGGGCAGAGCCTTGTACCCAAGAGAGAGATTGGAAGCTTTGTTACAACTCTGAGTTTCACGTATTACTAAGATCATCAGGCAGGGGGGTTCCTTGATGATCGTAGTAATACTTGAAACTCAGAGTTGTAACAAAGCATCCAATCTCTCTCTTGTGTATTATTATTGTATTTGTCCGTTGGGACCATCTTGTAGCAACGCGTGTAGCCGATTTTGTTTGCAGTCGCTACGGTTGCTGGGGACACACCCCAGCCATACTATTCCGCATGTGTTTTTGATATGCACCATAAGCATGATAGCCGTGAAGCAAATGAATATTCCAAGGTTCTAATTTTACTGAAATGATCTACACTTTCTGCTTATGTCGAGCATTTTTTGGCATATTTTGGCATATCTTGCTAAGCCTTTGGCACTATTATGGACGTTTTCCCTGATATGCGACGAGTATAATATGCTCTTTTTTTTTAGAATATTTGGTCGAGGCCTAACTACGATCATCAGGCAGTGGGGTTCCCTGATGATCGTAGTAATACTTGAAACTCAGAGTTGTAACAAAGCATCCAATCTCTCTCTTGTGTATTATTATTAAATTTTGTATTTGTCCGTTGGGACCATCTTGTACCAACGCGTATAGCCGATTGGTTTCTAGTCTTGTGTGCAAATCATGAGATTTCATAGCAAAACCTGTGCTGGTAACAGGGAGTGTGTTTAGTGCGGCGGTGAACTGGTTACAGTGTACTCATTTGCTCGGTGTGAGCTGGCAATGCACTTCCATGTCCATGATCTAGTCCATGTAGCGAGTTTTAAGTACACGGTTACATGATGATGTTAGTTTGACAGCATGAAACAAGGTGGAGGACACTGTGTTCGCAAACAGTGACCTTACTAGAGCTACAACCATCCAGGGTTGGTAGAGCCCCGGTCCGTTGGGACCATCTGAACCATAATTATGCGTGTTGAACCCGGTTCTATAATACTACACTGCTGGCAACTGAAATCCGACCCCTGAGCGGTGCGTTCACATCGCAAAGACCCAACACGGGATGGTGAAACTAGGAAACAGAATAATAATCTGATATCGATACTAGTAATGTGCATCCACCGCTCAGGTGGTCGGATTTCAGTTGCCAGCGTGACTGTAGCATTAAGTAAGTAAATTATCGTATCCGTTCCCGAAGGGAACTCACGACGGCCGCTAACACCCGATAAACCCTAGCGGCAGATGCAGCGCCTTACCGTGGGGGTGAGTGGGCAAGTCTCACAACCACTGGCACAAGTGCCGAAAACGACCCCATTAGCTGCATCCATGTACCCCTTGTGCCTGGCCACAAGTTCCCAGTTGACTGTGGGTAGCAGCACGGCTGGAAAAACCGCTCCCAGGCAGGACTTGAACCAGGTACCTCTCGTATCTCAATCATGGTCTTTGACCAACCCACTGTGCCTGGCTGGTTGCATTGGGTTATAGAATACCACTACTACATGGTCTACCTTTGGGAAAGGGTTACATGTGACATCTCCAAAGTGATAACGAGTTGAGCAAGACGCACACAGGCTAGTACGGGTGGATCCGATTATATGTCCAGTGCAAGAATAGTAACTTTCCATATTTTTCACTCACAAACCAACTGTTCAGTACATGGGGTAGTGGTCTACCAGAGCAATCACACTCACCACCGTAGTGGTTTTCCAGAAATGAGTAGAAGCAAAAAACTACACTCGCAGCCACATACAATGTAATAGATAAATAGCCGAAAAACATCTAAATCCATCAAAGAACAGCCAGCAAGCGGGAGAAAAGGCCGTTAAATCAAGTGGAACAGCATGGCCAGTGGTGAGCATGGGTGACTGGGCAGCAGGGGAGCGCCTGAAAAACAATGACTCCCTACATTCCTAGCCGCGACCGCTCAACCGGGCTAGAGGAAAAACACGCCTTTCGGCCAAAAAACCTTTCTATTTCAATAATTCCTGCCCCGCTGCCAGTCGGACCCAAGAATAGAGACAGCAAGAAATGGTATGTAATGTCCAGTGTATGTCATAATCATAAGCCACACACATTGGCATAGAATATCAAGAATAACAGCGGAAGACCCCCATGAAACCAGGGTGGGCGGGCACCTTTAACTACCAAGAGGAAAAACAAAGACCACGATGGCAGGTTCAATGGAGTTGCTCAGAACAAGAGAAAACGCCGTGAAAAAACAAAAACGTTCACAGGCTCAGCTCTGTCGTTACATCAAGAGGATAGAACAGTAGCAATACAAGAAGTAGCAATGATACCGTATGTCCACTACACTGCATAATTTTTATTTCTATAGGAATGATTAGAAAGGACACCAGCTATTGACACCAGGAATGTAGCCATGGTTGGTCATGAACTGAACAAACTGGCTCACATCGCTTCCAAAGTAGGCAACAATGACTTGGTGGTGGGTGATGGCATCATCATTGGTACTATCACCTGGCAAGTGAGCCTCTAGTGGCTTCCGAAGAAAGCAGTGCGGGTATTTGAGTAGCTTGGGGAAGAAGCTGGAGAAGAATGCCACATTCACAACGAACACTCCCGAGTCATACTCTCCATCGTTGAACCTATCCATTGCTGCACCAACATAGACTGCCAGTTCGTCATGGTCGTCAAAGCGGGGTCCGGAGAAGTTTCCCCAAACTGTTCCTCTCCATGGTTTCATGTATCCATGGGACATGTGCGTTGTTTCTGCATCGATGACACACTCCTCGTCGCTTGTCTCCGCTGGGCACACGGACACATCAAAACCAGGCCTAACCAATCGCCTGGCAATACCAGCCAGTTGTCCTGGTGTGATGGATATTGGAATCAGTGCTGGTAGTGGTGGTAGTGGTGGTAGCGCGTCGTCTGGTGAACGAACAGCAATGTCACCGTTTACATGCTGTTCACACTGTTGGCCGTGTTGCTGGTCATTGACCATGCCGTGGCCATTGTTACCACTGGTACTCATCACATGTCTGCTTGGGTGATTGCGATGTCTGCTTGGGTGATTGCGATGTCTGCTTGGGTGATTGCGGCGCTTTGCTTGACCTGCGTGTGTCGTCCGACTGTTGGTCTCGAACATTGGTTGCTCATCGGCGTCGTCATCAGTGTATCTGTAGGCACCATTGTAATCGACGTCACCATGCGCCTCACAGTCGATATCATGTTGCTGGGCTTGAGAGTAACCAACGGATCTGCGCTCATGTTCCCAAACTGGCTGCCTACTCTTGTTACCGCTAGCCACCTGGGACAAAGCAGAGGAAGGTAGGCTCTCCTGCATTTCAAAGTCATCACCATGGAGATGATGCTTTGGCATGGTGTCCGCATTGCTGGTGCCGTTGCAGAGTATAGATTTGCCCTTGGCCAGGATCTCCTTTGCTGTCAATTGATGTATGTTCTCTGGTGGTGTTGATTCCAGAATTGCTTTCCAGAGCTGAAACACCTTCACTGCATTGTCTTCCAAAGAAATATTGTTGAACACTCGGAAATGCGACAAAGCCGTCGGAACTAACATGTTGGGGTCTTGACTGCGGATCATTCGTGCTATCTTGTACCCGCGAATATACTCATAGGCGTTGCTTCGTGACAGGCCAACCTCAGTTTTCGTCCACGCGTGAAAACAGCTAGTGCTTAGAAGATGCTCGTCGTATAGAATGGAATGGAGGGCTTGTTCGACGGCATAGTACGAACAATGTCTATTCTGCTTGATGATGCCTTTCCAGTGCAACAGCCTATCACCGACAGTCTGCGCCGTTAGTGCCGGAGCTACTCCTTCACTGCTTGCTGGCAATTGCGCCTCCAGTGATGGTGGTGAATCGCAATTGACCATCACGTCCATCACCACTTCACAAGGCGAGGTCGCCCCGTGATTCTGCACAACCTTTGCTGCGGTCGACATTCTCGCTTCAGACTCTCACCTTCGTTCTTTCCTGAAGTTCTGCTTGGAAAGTTGGATGTCGTTGAGGTGCCGGTTGAGTTTCCGTCAGGCTTTTGATCAATGCACCTGTAAACAAGACAAATATACCAGTATTAAGTCAAGAAAAGAGTACTATGTGAAAACCTCTAGCTGCGAACAAGACAATAAGCCTGTATTCAATGTAGAAAGTATTCTTGCCCATGAACAAGACCCGAAACTTGTATGCCAGCGATGAAATAGGAAAATTGATTGATTTTGATTGATTTTATTTTACTTCGCAAGTTCAAACGGGTTCCTGGCCCAGTTATATGAAAGCGAAGGATAGAATTTGCCAAAATCCTAATGAGCAACAGCATAGGCAATATTATCATAGAAGTGGAGTACTATGCGAGCGAGAATACTGAGAAGAAAGGAACATGTCAGAACCTGACGAAACACAACCTATTTCAGGCATACATAAGGAAGGCAGGCTAGCTTAAAATCTTGCAATCTGGATACGGTGCGCACCTCTCTAGGCAAACTGTTCCACAGCAATGCTCCTGCGGTGGCGAATCTCGTTTGGCCACACCGACTGCGAGCTGGCTGGCTGAGCAGACCATTGGCATGCTGATGGCGCGTACTTCTGCCGCTGCATGCTGCTGGTTTGAGAAGCTGGGCTAGAGCAAGGCTAGTGGAGTCATTTAGACAACGCCAGATGAAGATCAGGAGCTTTTGTTTGAAAAGTTCAGTGACGCGGTAAATCGAGTTGGCAGCCAGGAGGGGCTGCATCGCGGAACATGGCGGGCTGCCATCAATGCATCGGATCGCCCGGTTTTGCATGGCTAGCAGACGCTGAAGTTGGGTCACGCGGAGGGCTGCAGAGAAGCTGCAGGCACCATATATCATATCCGGCATGACAATAGCCTTTACATATACCTTGCGCGAGCTGCGGGAGAGGCATCGACGGGCTCGCCACAAGGCGCCTATCTTCCTCGCAACTTTGGTCACTATGGCGCTGACGTGTACATCCCAACTCAGGCGGTTGTCAAGAAAGACACCAAGATACCGCGCAGACTTCACTATCGGTAGAGAGGTATCGCAGCACACGATAGAGACCTCAGGCCCGGCATGTTGCGGTGAGATAGTCATTACCTGGCTTTTGGAGGCGTTTAAAATTAGGCCGCGTGACTTAAGCCATATGGCGAGATCAGTGACAGCTGAAGAGACGGATTTGGAGACTTCCCCAGCGGAAGCTTTTGAATCATACAGAGCAATGTCGTCTGCGAATTGCACGCTGGGTATTGGCGATGAGACCGATTTCACATCACGGGTGTAGACGTTAAAGAGAACAGGCCCCAAGACGGAGCCTTGGGGCACACCACAGGTGCAGTCAAGAGCACGACTTGTGGCCGAAGCGACTGTAACTTGCTGCCTGCGATCTGTCAGGTAATTCGCGAACCACTTCAGGGCGACACCAGAGATACCAACGTCAAAAAGGTCTTGGATGAGGATACCATGCCGGACTTTGTCAAAAGCCTTGGACATGTCGAGGAGGCACAGCCCAGTTACCAGACCACTGTCCTTCGCCTTCTGCAAGCTGTCCGTGAGAACACAGAGGGCATCCTCAGTGGAGCACTTCTTCCTGAAAGCAAACTGAGAATCAGGTAGGGCATTACTCAAGTCTAGATGGCGAACTAGCTGACGCTGCACCACTCTCTCCAACAGCTTTGAGACAACTGGAAGGAGGGAAACAGGGCGATAATTGGTGGGGACTGATGGGTCCCCGGTCTTGTAAAGCGGTACAACGGTCGCCAGCTTGAACGCCAAAGGAACCGTGCCAGTACGGAGGGAAGTGCAAAACAGTACTGCTAAAGAGTATGCCAATAAATCGGAACACTGCCGCAATAGCGAACCCGGTATGCCGTCACTTCCCGTAGCTTTGCGAGCATCTACCTGCTGAAGGAGACGTTGAACGTCCGATGGAGTTACAGGGGAGAACTCGGTTAGGGAGACAGGCCCGTTGGGGCCATACGGAACGCCGAGATGGTCGGGTCGGTTTGTGTCTGTAACAATAGAGTGGAACGTGTTGCTGATCTCATGGACGTCGCAGCACGGATCTTGACGGCACCGTGAGCGCCCTGTCACGGCATTGAGAATTTCCCAGGACTTTCTTGGGTTACCAGCATTCTCTTTGCACTGGGTGGCGAAGTACGCATTTTTCTTTTGCCGAGAAGCGTTCCGAGCAATGCTACGTGCTCGTTTGAACTCAGTGTGAAGATTTCCATTCGTTTTGTCCTGTCTCCAACGTTTATGAATGCGACGTTTTCGCTGCATTAGCCTGTGTAGTTCTGCGTCTACCCACCGTGGTGTGGACTGTCTGGGAGGCTTTGAGTTACATAGGGGGGCATGCTTATCCATAACGTGCATAAACTTGGCATGCCATTCTCTCCACATGATATTTACATCATTGAAGTCAGAAAAGTCATGTAGGTTGGCCTCACAGATATCATGACGGAACGCGGTACTGTCTATCTTATGGATTCTTCGCATGTGCCTTGGGGCCTGCCGTGTAGTGCGGGGAACATCGACCTGGATATTGCACTCCACGGCACTGTGATCACTGATATCAAGAGGTACGACAGTAGCTACAGTTGCATGGGTAGGGTCAGCCAGAATGAGATCAATTATAGTACCATTCGGACAGCGGGGAGTTTCACGAGTGGGTTCTCTAACGATGTTCTTGAGGCCATAGGCGGCACAGAGGTCACTGAGATAGTGATGCTGGGGACCAGGCTGTTTTGGGTCCATGTTGACGTTGAAGTCACCAACCATTGTAATGGAGGCCGATTGCAGCTTGGCACGCAGGATCACCGCTTCTAGGTCTGTCCAGTAAGATACTGATTCCCCGGGGGGACGGTAGATACAACCAATCAAGTGGCAGCCAAGTGGACCTTTTATTTCCAACCAAGCAGACTCGATCTTGTCGGAATGAAGGTCAGAACGGGCTCGAATAGGAAGGTCTTGGTGGTAATAAAAGCAGACCCCACCACCCATCCGGCCGTGCCTGTCATTACGGTGTAAATTGTAACCATGGATACTAAGTTCTCCGTCTGCAATTTCGGGACTCAGCCACGTCTCCGAGATACCCAAGACATCGTAGCTGCGGTCGCGGATGAGGGCAGCTACTTCTGCACGCTTGTACCGTAGGCTACATATGTTTATGGCGCCGATCTTGAGAGGCGCTGCGGTCTGGGTAGGTGGAGGGTGTACTGAGGGTGACTGTGCATGCGGAGTGGCAGGATTCCTAGGGGAGAAGGGTTTGGCAAGAGGGTTCAGCGGCATGAGTGTTCAGGAGGAGATAATTTACAGAAGAAAACGGTATATACAAATAGAGCAATAGATGGGCTGGGTTCATAGAATGTGGACAGTTTTCAACGAGTACTTACTCAGTGGCTTCCTCTGCGGGCAGCTTCAACTCTCTCTGCCAGCTTCTTGCGCTCACGGTTTGAATACTCCTTAGCCCACGCAATTTGCGGGTCGATTGGATGTCGTTGAGATCCCGCTTGCGTTTCCGTCAGGTTTTTAATCAATGCACCTGTGCGTTTCGGTGTTACTGTGACAAGAAAGGAAATGACACTGATAGCACTGCAGTAGCTGATAAGCTGTAAAATCCAATCTTACCGATGTGTTTTGAGTTTCTTCTCGGAAGCGATCCCCTGGCACCTCCGATACGATCGATTCGATCCCGAGCAGCTTGTCTACCACTGGTAGTTATTTATTTATTGCTCTAGACGCGGCTACTTCACAAACCTTCTTATCTTCTTCTTCAATCTAGCCGAGATGAGCGCACCGTACAGCTCCACAAGAAAACAAGGTCCAACTGAAAGAACATTAGGCTTGACTGTCGTTTATGTACAGCTGCTGAAATACAGGCGAGCTTGTCCCATTGGTCACAGCCACGCTCGACACAGGGTGTATTCCGCTTTGAAACAATCATGATGTCCAGTGGTCGCGGGGGAGTTAGACCCACTTACATGTACGTTCTCTGCTGGATTGTGCACTTCAGTATACGATGTAAATAAAATATTATTATGTAAGGTCGATTACAAAATCGTCATGTGTGCTTGTGGGCTTCTTCATTGCCGCTATGGGGCTGTTAAGTGATGACGTCACAGTACCTTCGATACGCATAGCAACGATCCCACTGGGGACAAACAAAAGTAGCGTCGTCTCCACCGAACCAGTTGTCAGTGGCAACATTATAGGAATCGTGTACATTTCTTCGTTTCTTCTTTGCTGTTTTCAGTGAGTGTTTGGTTTTCTCTTTGTCCTTGATCTCGACGGTGTTGTCGTGCTCATTACCTTACTGAGGCGTCTCTTATGACTGTAGCCAGTGTCACGGAGGATTTTATTGGCGTGACGAGGTAGAACGCCGAGATCGAGCGTGAGAAACGCTCTGCATTAGTAGCTCCTGTAGAATGTCTTCTGGGATGGCGTATCCATGGTCAACAAAGCCAAGGTGCAAGACAGCATAAGAGATCGTGTAAACGATGTGAACTCCAAAAGGTAAGCTCCTGAACAAGTGGAAAGATATGTGTATTTACAAACTCTCTCTTCATCCATCGATTGCCGCTATGCATTGCATCTTGTCTTCACAGATAATCTGGACAAATAAATTGTAACTGGAGAGTGCAATCGTGCTTGGGACCCATCCCAATGTCATCACATGGCTGTGGTGACTAGTGTATACCTGTACCTGGGAGAGTTTTTCCTCAACTGAGACGGAGTGTAGGTGGATGGATTATGAGAAATGCGAAGATGTGGAGTAAGTTTTGTCGAAGAAATGTGTAATAAAATATAATTTACTTTACACTCAAACATACACTGTACATGTATGTACATGTACCATCATGATAATGATTCCATCTTCATATCTCCCCAACAGGTACGCCATACGCACCAAATACATGGTGTGTGTGCACACGCGCGCTTGCGGGCGCGTACATGCACACACTCTCATGCGTGGCAGAGTTGGCCGGATGAACAGACCACGCATTTTCACGAGGTGTCCGTTATGTCATTGGAATGCTGTACTTTATGACTTTATTCCAAAATAGTATGTCTTGCCCCTGCCAAATGGAGTTTGTGTCTATGCTCAGCGGGTATCGGGCCACGACGCCACACTGCAGTCAGCCCTGGAATTAAAATAGCACTTCATGGATTATTTTAACTACTTTCCTTTGCGTTTACATGTAGTAGTTTGTTGAGCCCGTGGTTTTATTTCTGTGTTCTGTTATGATTGGCCTCTGGAAATAATCGGAGTGGATGTCATTTTTGTCATATGTGTGTGCCTTGTGCAACAGGTTCAAGGCTAGATGCACTTCACATTCGGCGTGCGATCTCGGCGTCTGGGACCTGATAACGTCTTGGTTGGATGGGTAATCGAGGATGATACTACTCGGCACACCAATGTACATGTCAATGTAATTTTTTACTTTTTCAGAGTGATGCTTTTCAGGCACAATCTTCCTCAGCCTACTCAAGCTCAACTGATGAGGGGTGAATTCCCCGAAACACTGTGTATTGAGCAGGGAGTGGTGCTTTCTTGCAGGTTTGCCAAGTGGAAGGTGCGACGTGCTCCTCGTGTGCTCTGGATGGCAGTCGTGAGTCAGTCAAGTGTCAAGTTCGGCAAGAAGCGTGTGTTCCTAGTTGGAACAATCAACTTCATGACTATTACCGCCGAAGTCGCAACTTCTAAGTTCTTTATGTATTGTTTTAGTAATGAATTCTTTACGTAGTCATGTGGTTTGCTTCACTGTCCGAAGAGTGCTCAATAATAATCACATGTCCTTTGCGTCTCTGTGTATTATCCACATGTCCTTTGCGTCTCTGTGTATTATCCACATGTCCTTTGCGTCTCTGTGTATTATCCACATGTTCTTTGCGTCTCTGTGTATTATCCACATGTCCTTTGCGTCTCTGTGTTTTTCACTGTTTTTATTTGACATTATCTTTCTTTACGGAGTTGTTGTTGCTGTTCATTTTGCTACTCTTTCTTTTTCCCTCCCCTTATTTTTATTGATCGCCGTGGTTGGCAATCACCCACTCTCTTAACATTGGCCGGTGTTTCCACCGAGTCTTGAGATGTTGTAATAAATAAATAATACGGAGCATCAGCAAATCGAATATTCGAGTGAAATTCGAGAATCGTCACGAAAAGCACTCAATCAGTCGAAACTAGGGCTTTGTTCGACTGAAAAATGCCCGCAAACAGAAAATACTTTTCGAATACTTTTCGAATGCTCCGCGCGTGCTCTAGTACACGGCGCACTACGACTACGAGTACTCATTCTAGTTGCGCATGTAGCTACTAGTTCTTACCAGGGAGTACTACTCGTAGTTGCACATGTCAGTGCACAAGGCACAGTCGAACCGGACTTCTTGTCAATCTTGACGCTTTCCTCTCTCTCGAACTGTGAAAAGTTTTATCAAGTGTGCATTTTGTTTCATTTCAAGTATCCTGGAATCATGGCTTTGTCACCAACTACCAGCTCCGGTATGCCTCCTGCTCCCAGTACTGCAGTAGCCCTGCTGGCGTTGTCTCGGCATCTGCGTCTATGGTGAGTTCCCCCCAGGGAGAGGGCAACTCAAAGTGTGCCAAATATTCGAGGGTCGACCTTACCATGGATCTCATTCTGCTGAGGCAGTGTAGGGCCCACCCTCAGCTATTCGTCCGCGGGTCTCCTGATATGCAAGGGATAGCGGAGGAGCTCGGCCGAGATCCGCCTTTTCAAGGGGTCTCCAAGAGAGATCCTATCGCCAATAGCCTGAATCGGATGAAGCATCCGCCGCTTCGCGTCATCCCCAAAGGCAATGAGAAACAACAGCAACTCCGTTCATTGCACATCTCAAACGCCAGTCCTCAACTGCTCAAGCTAAAAAAACTCGATTCGAAAATACTGGACTGCGCTACATGCTGAACCTCTTTTTCATTCGAATTTTCTCTCTGATTTTCTTTTTGCCATTCGAATAATCAAATCGAAAATTCGATTTGCTCATGCTCCGTAATAAAATAAATAAAATAATCATTTAGGGCGGAGCATTGTACACAAGAGAGAGATTGGAAGCTTTGTTACAACTCAGAGTTGTAACAATGCTTCCAATCTCTCTCTCTTGTGTTATGTATTCTTTATGACTGTATTCTTTTTGTATTCTTTAATAAGGGGGCGGCCTACCCATAAATTTCATATGGCATTCAATTGACCGTAACTTTGGTGTTTCTCAATGGATTTGAGTGAAATTTTGACCACACACTCCTGCCACTATGCTAGCCCTCAGGACATGATTTACAAGTTCTTGCGCATCACTGACAGGCTTTCCGGGCCGGAAAAACTCAAATTTCCGGCATAGTGCCGCGGTGTGCGAGCCACCCAGGAGCCAAACAAATGCATTTACAATTTTTTTCACATTTTCGTGCCCATTCTGTCCGTGCGCGGGACCCAAACCTAAAACAAGTCCAGAAGCAGCCATGGGTGGTGGGGTAGGGCCCCTCAACGTGGCCCTGCAATCTGTCACAACGGAACGAGTGGGCGTTCTCTCACAGACTCCCACAGACCCAAGTCAATTTTTGAATTTTTTTAGGTTTAGCACGTGCTACGAGGTCGTACCTTTGATACAATATCCAGTGCTGGGACGTCCACAGCAAGCCATTTCCACAGCGCTGCACACAAATCCAGGATACCCTCAGAAACCGGCAAAGACTAACACTCATGTTCCGCTACTGCCTAGTACTGAATCCTACCTGACTTATTGACACGACTGAAACTTGCCAAAGTCACTAAATCAACGTCAACTACAATAATCAAGCCACATATCTGCAACGTCACGAGGGTGCTGGCAAAAGTCCTGCCGCCGTGCAGCCCAATACGTGGCTCAAAAACGTGATATTTTGGACTTGGAGCACAATACTGCACACTTTCGCGTGTTTCCATGATACGACAAGTTGCGCACGGTCTGCTCACATTCAAATACAGTGCTGCCAACAAATGACAGCGCGCAACAAAAAAATCTGTCCTTACAAGGGCACATTTTTCGGTCATAACTCTTGAACGGCTGGTCAGATCGGGACAAGATTTTCAGAGATTATGCAGCTGTTCATGCTCTTTCAACTGATGTAGCACTCGATATGAATTTACAAATTCGATTTTCAGGGATTTTACGACCAGGCTGCCCCCTTAACTGCGAATAAGAGAGTAATAAGAGTAATAATGAATAATCTACCTTCGAACAAGACGAGAAACCTGTCAGCAGTATAGGAATAAACGTCTACATGCGAACAAGACAGTAATATGAGTAATATGAAAACTCTAGTTGATTCAAATGGTGGTCACACCTGGCACAGTGGCAGTATGGCGGTAAATACATATCTTACATTGCAGCCTAGAGAGCGTGTGAGGGCAGTTATTCTAGCACATAGCTCTCCTTCTCACCACCACCAGCACACCATCAGTTCGCGCCTTGCGCCTAGTCGATGCATGGCTGGTGGTATCCGACAAAGCAGGCTGGCCCATACTGCCAGGTGTGTGTTTTACCGACAGTTGAATCAAGCATAAGTACTGCTGCATTGGTGTCTTCAACTGCATATCTCATGAATACCCTCTGCCTGCGAAAAAGACGAGAAACTAACTTGTCAGCAGTAAAGGAAACTTCTAGCTGCGAACAAGACAAGCAGACCTCCACCCGTAATCCGAGCATGCATTACAGTCTATGCACAGTTGAGTCACAGTGTACAGTGGATACATTTGTATACTGAGCTTGGTGTACGCCCACACAGTGTCATGTACTGAGCTTGATGAGCTTGATTCTACATTATGCGGCGCCAGACATTACTGCAATGTACGCCCACACGTCCCCCAGCTAGTACAAGGCAGTAAAGCTGATATCAAAATGCCATCAAACGTCCTGAAGACGTCGTTGGCAGAGCGACTTATCGTACTTGTAGTGAGTTTTAGGTACACCTTTCCATCTAAGATATTTCTAGTGGATCTCGCTAAGTGTGTATTGTGACACTAGTACTCACTCAGCTGAAGCACACTGTTACAGCCAGTTGGAAAAGAAATTAGAACTTCCTAGTCAAAGAGATAACAAACAGAACATACTCACTGCAGCTGTTCAGCAGTCCTTCAGTTCTTCCAGTGTCCAAGAACGTCCAGCCTATCCTTCATAAACCTGTACATGCACAGACAGAGGCACGAGCAGTTGCTGTTTCGTAACTCTGAGTTTCACGAACTGAATCGATCATCAGACGAAAATTTAACCAGTAATAGAAATTTAATGTACATACAGGTAGCGGCACTTGTCTTCCGCAATCTTGGAATACTCAAAATCTCCAATTGAACAACACGTGTGGCCTTTTTCTCCTTCTAGTATTGCCTCAAATTTCCACGGTTTCCTTTCCTAAAGAATAGCGTTGTAACTTGACTGTACTATTAGTGGCCTGTACGCTACAATACGCTGTTACATACATATAGACACAAAATTACCTGTGCGTCTTCTACAAAAGTCAAATAAATACATACAGCAGAGCTAACCTTTCTCAACGCGAAGAATGTAGTTATGGTGTCACGGGTACGTTTACAGCTACTATACTCCCAGCTGTAGCACGTATTGAGAGCTGATGTGCGGGGGGCCGGGGGGGGGGGGGGGAGCGCGGCGCCCACATATCTTCAACTTGAACTCTGAGCTTCATGCGGCGCTAGGCAATCATCAGACACTTGAACTGATACTCGGATCTACCCAGCAGTATGCTTATGATAGCACCCGCTACGACTGGTACGACCATGGTCGTACCACTTTTCGAAAAGCGTGGTCCGCCCGAAACGTGCAAAACCGTAATAAAAAAAATCAGGATCCATTGACGCATAAGCACCCTTCCAAAACCCCTCCTACGCCCCTGTTATCAACACATAGCCTTAGGGCCATACTAGTAAGCATAAACAAAGTCAGGGCTAAATCTGGTGACGTAAATTTTGGGGAAAAAGCTGGCTCAGGCCAACGTCACCGGATTTATCATTATTATTATTTGTAGTCAAGTGGTTTGCTTCATTGTCCGAAGAGTGCTCAATACCCATGTAGGGCAGAGCCTTGTACCCAAGAGAGAGATTGGAAGCTTTGTTACAACTCTATGTTTCACGTATTACTAAGATCATCAGGCAGGGGGGTTCCCTGATGATCGTAGTAATACTTGAAACTCAGAGTTGTAACAAAGCATCCAATCTCTCTCTTGTGTATTATTATTAAATTTTGTATTTGTCCGTTGGGACCATCTTGTACCAACGCGTATAGCCGATTGGTTTCTAGTCTTGTGTGCAAATCATGAGGTTTCATAACAAAACCTGCACTGGTAACAGGGAGTGTGTTTAGTGCGGCGTTGAACTGGTTACAGTGTACTCATTTGCTCGGTGTGAGCTGGCAATGCACTTCCATGTCCATGATCTAGTCCATGTAGCGAGTTTTAAGTACACGGTTACATGATGATGTTAGTTTGACAGCATGAAACAAGGTGGAGGACACTGTGTTCGCAAACAGTGACCTTACTAGAGCTACAACCATCCAGGGTTGGTAGAGCCCCGGTCCGTTGGGACCATCTGAACCATAATTATGCGTGTTGAACCCGGTTCTATAATACTACACTGCTGGCAACTGAAATCCGACCCCTGAGCGGTGCGCTCACATCGCAAAGACCCAACACGGGATGGTGAAACTAGGAAACAGAATAATAATCTGATATCGATACTAGTAATGTGCATCCACCGCTCAGGTGGTCGGATTTCAGTTGCCAGCGTGACTGTAGCATTAAGTAAGTAAATTATCGTATCCGTTCCCGAAGGGAACTCACGACGGCGGCTAACACCCAATAAACCCTAGCGGCAGATGCAGCGCCTTACGGTGGGGGTGAGTGGGCAAGTCTCACAACCACTGGCACAAGTGCCGAAAACGACCCCATTAGCTGCATCCATGTACCCCTTGTGCCTGGCCACAAGTTCCCAGTTGACTGTGGGTAGCAGCACGGCTGGAAAAACCGCTCCCAGGCAGGACTTGAACCAGGTACCTCTCGTATCTCAATCATGGTCTTTGACCAACCCACTGTGCCTGCCTGGTTGCATTGGGTTATAGAATACCACTACTACATGGTCTACCTTTGGGAAAGGGTTACATGTGACATGTCCAAAGTGATAACGAGTTGAGCAAGACGCACACAGGCTAGTACGGGTGGATCCGATTATATGTCCAGTGCAAGAATAGTAACTTTCATTTTTCACTCACAAAGCAACTGTTCAGTACATGGGGTAGTGGTCTACCAGAGCAATCACACTCACCACCGTAGTGGTTTTCAGAAATGAGAAGAAGCAAAAAACTACACTCGCAGCCACATACAATGTAATAGATAAATAGCCGAAAAACATCTAAATCCATCAAAGAACAGCCAGCAAGCGGGAGAAAAGGCCGTTAAATCAAGTGGAACAGCATGGCCAGTGGTGAGCATGGGTGACTGGGCAGCAGGGGAGCGCCTGAAAAACAATGGCTCCCTACATTCCTAGCCGCGACCGCTCAACCGGGCTAGAGGAAAAACACGCCTTTCGGCCAAAAAACCTTTCTATTTCAATAATTCCTGCCCCGCTGCCAGTCGGACCCAAGAATAGAGACAGCAAGAAATGGTATGTAATGTCCAGTGTATGTCATAATCATAAGCCACACACATTGGCATAGAATATCAAGAAGAACAGCGGAAGACCCCCATGAAACCAGGGTGGGCGGGCACCTTTAACTACCAAGAGGAAAAACAAAGACCACGATGGCAGGTTCAATGGAGTTGCTCAGAACAAGAGAAAACGCCGTGAAAAAAACAAAAACGTTCACAGGCTCAGCTCTGTCGTTACATCAAGAGGATAGAACAGTAGCAATACAAGAAGTAGCAATGATACCGTATGTCCACTACACTGCATAATTTTTATTTCTATAGGAATGATTAGAAAGGACACCAGCTATTGACACCAGGAATGTAGCCATGGTTGGTCATGACCTGAACAAACTGGCTCACATCGCTTCCAAAGTAGGCAACAATGACTTGGTGGTGGGTGATGGCATCATCATTGGTACTATCACCTGGCAAGTGAGCCTCTAGTGGCTTCCGAAGAAAGCAGTGCGGGTATTGGAGTAGCTTGGGGAAGAAGCTGGAGAAGAATGCCACATTCACAACGAACACTCCCGAGTCATACTCTCCATCGTTGAACCTATCCATTGCTGCACCAACGTAGACTGCCAGTTCGTCATGGTCGTCAAATCGGGGTCCGGAGAAGTTTCCCCAAACTGTTCCTCTCCATGGTTTACTGTATCCATGGGACATGTGCGTTGTTGCTGCATCGATGACACACTCCTCGTCGCTTGTCTCCGCTGGGCACACGGACACATCAAAACCAGGCCTAACCAATCGCCTGGCAATACCAGCCAGTTGTCCTGGTGTGATGGATATTGGAATCAGTGCTGGTAGTGGTGGTAGTGGTGGTAGCGCGTCGTCTGGTGAACGAACAGCCAGTTGTCCTGGTGTGATGGATATTGGAATCAGTGCTGGTAGTGGTGGTAGTGGTGGTAGCGCGTCGTCTGGTGAACGAACAGCAATGTCACCGTTTACATGCCGTTCACACTGTTGGCCGTGTTGCTGGTCATTGACCATGCCGTGGCCATTGTTACCACTGGTACTCATCACATGTCTGCTTGGGTGATTGCGATGTCTGCTTGGGTGATTGCGATGTCGGCTTGGGTGATTGCGGCGCTTTGCTTGACCTGCGTGTGTCGTCCGACTGTTGGTCTCGAACATTGGTTGCTCATCGGCGTCGTCATCAGTGTATCTGTAGGCACCATTGTAATCGACGTCACCATGCGCCTCACAGTCGATATCATGTTGCTGGGCTTGAGAGTAACCAACGGATCTGCGCTCATGTTCCCAAACTGGCTGCCTGCTCTTGTTACTGCTAGCCACCTGGGACAAAGCAGAGGAAGGTAGGCTCTCCTGCATTTCAAAGTCATCACCATGGAGATGATGCTTTGGCATGGTGTCCGCATTGCTGGTGCCGTTGTAGAGTATAGATTTGCCCTTGGCCAGGATCTCCTTTGCTGTCAATTGATGTATGTTCTCTGGTGGTGTTGATTCCAGAATTGCTTTCCAGAGCTGAAACACCTTCACTGCATTGTCTTCCAAAGAAATATTGTTGAACACTCGGAAATGCGACAAAGCCGTCGGAACTAACATGTTGGGGTCTTGACTGCGGATCATTCGTGCTATCTTGTACCCGCGAATATACTCATAGGCGTTGCTTCGTGACAGGCCAACCTCAGTTTTCGTCCACGCGTGAAAACAGCTAGTGCTTAGAAGATGCTCGTCGTATAGAATGGAATGGAGGGCTTGTCCGACGGCATAGTACGAACAATGTCTATTCTGCTTGATGATGCCTTTCCAGTGCAACAGCCTATCACCGACAGTCTGCGCCGTTAGTGCCGGAGCTACTCCTCCTTCACTGCTTGCTGGCAATTGCGCCTCCAGTGATGGTGGTGAATCGCAATTGACCATCACGTCCATCACCACTTCACAAGGCGAGGTCGCCCCGTGATTCTGCACAACCTTTGCTGCGGTCGACATTCTCGCTTCAGACTCTCACCTTCGTTCTTTCCTGAAGTTCTGCTTGGAAAGTTGGATGTCGTTGAGGTGCCGGTTGAGTTTCCGTCAGGCTTTTGATCAATGCACCTGTAAACAAGACAAATATACCAGTATTAAGTCAAGAAAAGAGTACTATGTGAAAACCTCTAGCTGCGAACAAGACAATAAGCCTGTATTCAATGTAGAAAGTATTCTTGCCCATGAACAAGACCCGAAACTTGTATGCCAGCGATGAAATAGGAAAATTGATTGGATGTCGTTGAGATCCCGCTTGCGTTTCCGTCAGGTTTTTAATCAATGCACCTGTGCGTTTCGGTGTTACTGTGACAAGAAAGGAAATGACACTGATAGCACTGCAGTAGCTGATAAGCTGTAAAATCCAATCTTACCGATGTGTTTTGAGTTTCTTCTCGGAAGCGATCCCCTGGCACCTCCGATACGATCGATTCGATCCCGAGCAGCTTGTCTACCACTGGTAGTTATTTATTTATTGCTCTAGACGCGGCTACTTCACAAACCTTCTTATCTTCTTCTTCAATCTAGCCGAGATGAGCGCACCGTACAGCTCCACAAGAAAACAAGGTCCAACTGAAAGAACATTAGGCTTGACTGTGGTTTATGTACAGCTGCTGAAATACAGGCGAGCTTGTCCCATTGGTCACAGCCACGCTCGACACAGGGTGTATTCCGCTTTGAAACAATCATGATGTCCAGTGGTCGCGGGGGAGTTAGACCCACTTACATGTACGTTCTCTGCTGGATTGTGCACTTCAGTATACGATGTAAATAAAATATTATTATGTAATGTCGATTACAAAATCGTCATGTGTGCTTGTGGGCTTCTTCATTGCCGCTATGGGGCTGTTAAGTGATGACGTCAC